ACTACTTTTCTCGCTCCGTACCCCTACTTTTTTTCTTTCTTCGTTCGCTCTCATTCCCGCAACCACCAAAACCCCCACCCCAAACCCACCAAGGCTCTTGCAGGCTACCAGCAAAGACAAAAAGCCTTAAATGGCTATGTCTGCGTTAAACATCACGTCACGGTGTCAGTTATTGTGCTCTGAGTGCCCCTGGAAGGCGCTGATTCGATTATGTCCAATACTGTGCCTGGAATCCGAACATCTATTGTCGTCCACTATCTTCCTGGAACCAGTCTCCTCGCCCTGTGTTGGCGTGAGTTCTTTCAGCTTCTGCTATGTTACTGTAGCATTTTCCCTAAACTAATCGCATATCAGCAAATTCGTGAAGAGAAATTCAAAGTAAGTCACAGTTTGACAAATTATTGTTACTATAGACAACGGCTATCCGCCTGTAACTATCTGTTAATGACAAAAAAACATCATTGCCTTTTCATCAAAAAATTGTAGAAGAGAACTTTTTTGATATCAAAAATTTTCGTAATTTGAAGCAAAGATCGTAATTTTTCTTTTTGAATGCTTAAGTATTCCAATATGCTACCAATTAAACATGCAACAATTTCAAAATAATGCTTAATAACAAAATTGAAATTCGATCTTCAACTGTTAATATCTTCTAGAAATTTTGGAAAAAAAAAATTTCATTATTTTTCTCGTACTCTCCAAGTGAGCCTCTATCACCCCTTAAAAGGAATGACGTCAATTTTGAATCACCCTTTATATTACTTGTTGTTTATTGTTTATATAAATACTTTTTACAGATAAAAAAATATTTGGAGCATTTTTAGGAATAACTAAAATATACGCTTTTTGTGATATGAAGCCGTAGATTTCCAACAACCTTCAACACATCAATGAATATCTACCATCTTCTCAAATTATAGATGATTTATGAACTCGGTTTTAGTGGTGAGCAACCCGATGCTATGCACTAGCTCTAATGACAGAAATATCCTGTTTTTCATTTATTTGTTCTTTGATGAAAATGCCACCTGAATAATAATCTGTGCTTTCGACTTACCCAACAACATATTTACAAATAAGTATTGGGGAACATGGGCAAAAATATCACAGTCCAGTATGCGTAGGAAGCACGAGGCACGAAATCATACAACAACTTATCACAGATTATATCGTCAGAAATGAATAAAATCGACATAGGCCCTGTTCTTCGGATGATATAATCAATCTGGAGCGAATAATCAACATCAAGAGAGACATCTTCTCCATGACAAAACCACAAGCAACACTGGGGAAGATTAACGAAAATTTTCTAACGCATTTTCCGAACACCCTGTATACTTCAGTCGGGAAGGCTGTTGAATACCTCGCACATGAATGAGGCGCGTAGCGCCGAAGAATATAAATTGCTCGGTATACAGGGCGAGTCCACGAAGCGAGACCCCCCACTTAATTCGGACAGAAAAGCGATAGAAACAAAAACGTTTATATGCATTTAGAACGGATTTGATTGTGTTCCTTACAACTCTTATTGTGTAATATACTATTAACATCATTTCTTCGCATTTTTGCAGCTGATTGATAGTACGATCGTATTAAGCATCCTTACTTATTTCTAGGAATGGGTCGATTTGAAACTCTTCAAGTCCAACGTCAACACATCTAATTATATTATAAGGTCCATTATGTAAGCAGAAATAGAACAGCAATGAAGTTCAAATGGAAGTTAAAATACAAACTAATGCGTCAGACAATATATCCGTGTCCACTGTAATTGAAAGCTTGAAATAAATCTACTTAATTCGTATTTATAATCTATGTAAGTCTTCTTCATATTTTTGTCTCAATGCAGATTTCAGCGGGTGTGTGAAAGAAGATATACAGGGTGTCCATTTTCTGAGTCTTTGTATCGGTAACTAACTACCTTTTTAAAGGCAGGTAATCCGTTAAATGGGCAAAATTGGGCAGAATTCGATTGCCTATTAATTGCCGTTTTCAAAATTTAGGTACCCGACTAGGTTCCTGAAATATCCTGAAAAGACAAAAAATTGGCACTTTTTTAATTATCACATATTACGTAAACTGCTTAACTTGGAAAAAAAATAAAATTGCCCTTGGTTGAACTTTTTGCGTTGAATCCAATAAACTAGCACTCGTTGTCATAGTCAACTTGATTTACGAGATAAAAAGTAAATATCTGTTTTTTAAATGGTAATCATAGTTGGCTGTGAGCCTTTTAAAATGATATATTTTCAACATTCACACAACTCACGATTTGTATGTGAATATTTACAACATGTTCATGGTTGGATTGCCAATGCAGGACCCATTCGGTGGTCTATTTTCTGTGGGGTTTCCTTAAAACCAAGATGTAGAAAAACAAAACCCAATGATATTGAAGATCTAGTAAATAGAATACCTTCAGCATTAAGAAGTATTCGTCCACAAACCATAAGAAAGGTGTCATGGAAATTGATTAGAAGATGCCAAAGTGCCTGGACGTAAACGGAAGTCAATTTGAACATTTAATTTAAACGAATCGTTCTTTCATTTTTGTTTTGTGTGATAATATAGTTCGTGTTTCCAGAGCCTACTACACATTTTTGATGTTTTTTTATAGTTTTACGGCCACAAAAGGAGAAAAACATACAAACAATTATATCGTTAAATTCAGAAAAAATTTGGATTTCAAAAGGATCACAGCCAACCGTTTACCATTAAAAAAAAATAGTGTGCGTCACGGGACGCACGACAGAAGTGATAACTTCATATATTTATAGAAACCATAAAATATTGAACTTATTGTTAGTCTAATAATTTATAAATGGATCAGGAATAGGTAAAATTTAATTTAATTTCCTTTTGAATGTAAAATATCTTTTTTATTTGCAACATTTAACATTATTTAACGAGATGTTGTACATATTGCTCTTCTTGGGTTTGTGTAAACTCTTCTTCTTGAGTTTCTGTATTTTTTTGTCGTAATTTCTTATTTGTTTTGTATAATCTTTGACGTTCAGCACTAGTTCGTGGTTGATGAAAGCTACTTTGAGTTGATCTATTACTTAATGCTCCTTTTTTAGCACCAAATCGTTTTTGGCGTTCAGCATTACTTAATACTTTTCGCATTGTAGCATGTTTTTGTGACTGCTCTTGTGTATGTTCTTCATGAACGTCTGCTACAACTTGTATCTGAATAGGACTAAAAAAATCAATTAATTTTGGTGATTGGAAGAAGTTCTGTCTGTTTAAAATAGAAGTAAAACGAGGAAGAGCTATAGAGACAGGATACACTTGACACACTATATGTATACATAATGTAAGCCATCGCGCGTATGTTCAAAAAAAAATTGTAGCTGAACTAATCCAAGGCTAAAAAATTTAACTAAATTGAGAAGATTTAATCATAAAGGAATCAAAGGGTATATGATGGGAAAAAATCCATTTTGATCCGTGGTAAACACAATTAATCATAGAAATAATATAGAGAATTGAAAATAAGCCCTAATAAATTCGTTATATATATTTACATATTTTGCAACTATAAGCTGAAGAGAGATTCGTATCGTCTTAACATCAAGAATGCGTTGCGTGACAGAAAATAAGAAGACCCCATTTTTTCTGAAATAACCGAGGTAAACTCAAATATTTTTTCAATTAAATTCAAAACATTTATTATATATTATTAAAAAACAGTAATGATGTCAGGATATTCACACGTCGAGTACCTATATTTTGAAAACGGTAATGAATAAACGTCTTTAAGGCAATAGAATGCTGCCCAATCACCATGTTGGTCGACACTTGTACCCAGCTAGACGTTTGCGTTGTCCTCCGTCCGACCGTCTAGAATCACAGATTCATCCCCTACTCCGGTTTTATGCATGTGATAGTTGACCATCCATTGTCCGGTGAGAACAGCAGTTACGGCTTTAGACGGCCTTTGGCGGCTTTCGGCTTAGCAGAAGGACCCGTCCAGTTGCAGGTCTTATTAGGGGACTGAATATAAAGTATTATCTTCAGTCCTACTCTTTGTTTATTGCCATACATCATATTTTCTGCGCTCAATTTCTAACTGAATATAACAATTGTAAGAATTAAATATGTATCCGTTCTCTGTCATAATTTACCAAGCCATGCAATCATAACAACGGGGGAGCACACAAGATGAAACGACGCTGAAAAGACGCCAATTTAAAGAAAGCAGCGTAAATCCTTTTTAAAGAATTTAATTTAGTTCAAAGAGTCAGTATACTGCCCTGCAAGACAAAAAGACGTCAACCGCACTTGTAGGGTTGGTTAATCAACATTAGAAAAATTATTATTTTGAAAAATCCTACATTTTGGGGGCTCAACCGAGGTCGAAGCGACTGAGGAAGGAATAGTCAACTGGGATCGACAAAGCGACAGGAATAATCAACCGGCATAGACGAAGGAAAGATTAAGAGATAGACGAAGGCAAGACGAAATAATAAAGACGAAAGAAGAAGAAGACGAAGACGAAAAGTGCATTTATCAACAAAAGGGTGGACAAAACGTCGAACAGCTTTGGCTGTTGAATGATAATTCTGAGTGGCGATTGCGTGAGATCTGTCGGAGTTAGATCTGATTAGAGCTGACTGGTGGATAGTAGACTGCAGGTGTTTCTGTAATTTTGGACGAGTTAATTGTGACATCCATATTGCGTTGTGACCAGGTAGGTACTTCAGTTTTAAGCGAAATAAGGAGAAACTGGCGTTTTACTTTAGTTTCCGGTATATCTAGAAGCTAATTGACAATTTATGTATGATCAATTTCATTCAATTAAATTATTCATTGATATGAAGTATTAGAACGTAATTTTTAATTGTGTTGTTTACGAACGTCGTCTTTTCGCTTTCAGGTAACACATTGACACTTTTCCGCAAAAATTGGACTTAATCGGTATATTAATATGTCTACTTTAGTCGATTTTGATAGAGTTGCGCTGAATATTACTGAACTAATAAGTTAAGTAAAGTTAAAGCATTGCTTTTATAGGTTATGAGGCCGATTGTCATTCGCGGAAAACGCGTAAGAATTTCCGGAAGTTTACGGGTTTTCATTTAGAATTAGCTAAGTTTGCTCAGAAAATCAAAGATGTAAAGGAAAACATTGACGTATCCGATATAATTTCTATTTGCGTTCTATTACAGCTAAATCAAAGGAATAAAGCTGACACTTTGATGAATCGAATTTGTTCCTTCGTGAATGATTAAACTTGGGCCAAAGCAGTAATAGAGTCGAAAACGACGTAGAAGTGGTAGAAGAATATGAGGAAGACGATGAAAGGCGAACAGTGGTTTAAAAACAAAGCAAAAAAGTACGCTTTTTTATTTAACTTTCAGAGACATAGAGAATAGTACAAGACATTTTGGCTTACATAACCGAATGGAATGATCTGCAAAAACTAATATTTGTCGCTACGAGGTTTAGCTAAACATTTCGTACAATCCGAGAATGGTATCAAGTTGTGGGCGATACTTGAAGCTAACAGGAGAGTTTCAAATTAAGTAATCTGCATTCAAGCACATAAGTTGCTCATGTCAATAATTAATGAAAGAAAAAAAGCGGAGCTGATGTAGAGGCGAGGTGATTATACAGTGTATAATAGATGGCATTTGCGATGACTTACCAAATAAAGTTATTTTATATGGTGCTACAAATTTTAGTGATTTTAAGGAAAGAGTGAAACTATACGAACAAAGAAATCGACTAAAGTCGTGAGTGAAGCTAGAAAAGCGCCAAGAAATGGGAATTTCTAAAGAGGCGATAAATACGCCAAAACTGAAGGGAAGAGGCAGCCCCGGGAGAAGATACCCTTTGATCTGACAACCACAAATCTTAAAACTGATCTTTTAGAATTATTTATATACAGGGAGAATCAATATTGGAGTCATTCTTTTTAAGGGGTTATAGAAGATCGCTTGAAAAATACGAGACAAAGATTGAAAAAAGTTTTTTTTTTATTTCTAGAGTATACTGACAATTGAAAATTGAATTTCAACTTTGTTATTACGCATTATTTTGTAATTGTTCCATGTTTAATTGGTAGCATATTGAAATACTTGAGCATTCAAAACGACAAATTACTATCTTCGCTTCAAATTACGAAATTTTTTTATATTAAAAAAGTTATCTGCTACAATTTTTTGATGAAAAGTCAAAGCGGCAATGATGTTTTTTGTCATTAACAGATAGTTAGGTAGATAGCAGAGGTCTTTGTCAATAATAACAATAATAGATCGAAAATATATTATATAATAACAATTAATTTTTTAACCATTTTTTTTGTACTTCCAAAACACCCACAGAAGAATGACGCCAATTTTGAATCACCCTTTTAGTGCGCATGCGCGGACTAAGTAATCAGTTGTTTTTAAGTCTGTTTTTTAGGTTGATTGAGGTTAGGATTTTCCTTAATTCGTGAGTAAAGACTACAGGGTGTTCGAAATTCTTTATACGTTACTTCAGAAAAGTAAATATGGGTTGTTTATACCGCAATTAAGTTTTTGAACATCAACGCAATTATATTCACAATCGCCGGACGCCGGACGATAAAGTGGTTATTGACTATGTATATGATAGGTATATGATTGTCTAAATGCACTTAAAAAAACTAAGATTTTAGACACCATTTAACACAGAAACGTGTACTACAGTCAAAGATTGCACTAAAGATGCTATGAAATATTATTTTTTTGATCAAACGAAATGCAGGCACAAGCCATCAGTATAATAACATTTATCAATAATATAATAAAAGTACTAGGAACTAGGTTGAAAGTACTAGGAATATATTTTTTTAGAAAGCAAACATTTTTTATTTATGAAGAATCTGACAAAGCTATATCAAGAACATGTGACACTGAACAACTGAAGCCTTCACGCTGTGCCGTTAAACACATTATAAAAAATTTCAAGAATTTTGGATACGTCTAAATAACAGTGCATGTTCAATTTATAAAAGCAACCAGAAAAAGTAGAGAACTCTAGATTTAAAAAAACTGGTTTTTGCTCTTGATATAATAATAATAATGTATAAACGGTTGTTGATATAACTATCATATTCTCCATAAATAATAAAAAAGTTCAAATAATCTTCGTTTGTACAATTTATGCGTCTGGGATGATTATTAATTATTTTCAAAAGGTAACTGACAGCTGTAAGTATTCCTTTGGCATTTGACTGTCTTAAAAATGGCAACTTTCGTCATGACAACCAAGAGTGACAGTATTTAAAATAAGATGTGAAATTTTTACAAAGCTAATTTTCTATTAAAACTACAAAATAGAGCGTCTTTCAGTCAAAACTAAAAAACCACATTTTTTTAAACAAACTACAGTCTTGAGAGAAAAAGAGCTGACGCGATTTTTAAATAAAATGTTTTGTACCTAATTTGACCCTGCAAAGCGAGTTCAGAACTTTTTGCGAAGCGACGAAGGATCCGAAATTTATTTCATAATTTTTCACGGAAAATATTTTTAGATTGTAAGCATTTGTAACACACAAGTGAAACTTAAGAAAATTGACCATTTAGAAGAAAGAATAACTTTGCTAAAACTGAAAAATTCTGTAATTTTGAAGAAATTTTAAAAATATTATTAATAAATAGCCTTTAAAATATCTCAAAATCTAAAAAAAGTTTAAATAAGTTATCAACATTATCCCAGCAAATGAACTGAGTTTCTGCGCCGGGGCGTTGAGTTGGCGCACGAAGCCATTTGCGCAGCATAACGCCAATTCCTAAAAATTCAGTGAGTTACTCACGCCTACACTATATTAATAGTTATCAAAATGTTGCCGAAATTCCATTAAAGTAAGTCCGTTTCAACAAGAAATGCGACTCAAATTAAGTAGCAGATATTCCTTTATAGGACAAATGACTAATTATTCGAGTGGTTGCATCTGTAATTTTTTACATACAATTTTAAATTTGTCAAAAACAGTTAGACTTAGGTATAGGATATTATACGTGAAATATATTTACAATTTCGAGGAGAATTCAAAAATGTATTATGAATGAAAGAATATATATTACTGGATTAATTACAGGAATGTACAGAAATGAGTAAACAAGATCTATTTGTCTCTCCTGCCAACCACATAAGTTAGTCTAGGGGGCGATGTCACAATTAGTTTTTTATTTTAAGTTGTATTTGTTTCTAGTAACTAAGGTAATTGAAAAGAAAACAAACAAGACGGGTGTGTGTAGAAATAACGTTCTGTGCAATATACATTTTAATTTTGCCGATAATCGGGTTTTAATTCGTCGGTTGGGTGCATTCATATTGTAACGGAAATGGCCTGGGATACTCACGTTTGGAATGGGGGATCGAAATTCATGGTATTTCAGTAAATGGGAGCCCCATTTGGGCCCCATTTACTGTCAAATATGACACTGACAAGCGGGAAATTTCGCACCTGGACTGGAGATTTCAAGAACATTCTGGGTTACCTGGAGGAAACTATATAAGCGACGACGAGAACCATGGGGGGGAGTGAAGTGACAGCAGCCATCGGGTGCAGAAGAGGTTAAACCCCGCGAGTTGGAAATCCGAGTTTTGCGTTTGTTATTTTTATTGTTTGTGAAGTTGACGTTAATTTAGAAGTTAGTTTGTTCCTGTTCCGTATTTAAAGTTATACCGAGGTGAAATAAAATTGGAAGCAGAAGAAAGAGTTAATACTCGGCCATCCACGGTACAACATACTTAAGTCGGTGTTGGGAGTGCCATCTCAGATAGGGACGCGCACGAAGAAGAAAATAATACAAAAATACAGTCCACTTAATCATTCATCGAAAGTGTTGCACTTTCG